CCGTTACCCGCCGCCGCCGGGCCCACCTCCGGCCCAACCGCCCTCCCGCCCGGCCTCGCCCCGCCCCCGCTGGCAGCCTCGTGAGCTGAGGACCCGACCCTGTTGTCCCGCCGAGCCCCACTTCCCGCCCACGTCTTCGCTCAGGCCACGCCCCGTCTGCGCCCCGACGCCGGACCGCGCCCCCTTGTGACCACGCCCACGCCCCGTAGCAACCCTCCTCGCACCGCCCCGTTCAGGCCACGCCTCTGACGCCCGACCACGCCCCTTATCGTGTTCCCCCGCTCCTCCCACCGCTAGGCCACTCCCTGATGCCCGACCTTGCCCCACCTCCTGGCCCCGCTATTCGCCTAGTTTCCTCCCTTCGTACTGCTCCCCTCCCTCCAGGCCACGCCCCAGCGTCTGACAATGCCCTCACTACACGCCCCCTCTCCAACACTCCCCACCCGGTCCGCACTTTCCCACCTCCAGGCCACGCCTCCGGGGGGCCACGCCCCCACGTCCCGGTCCCCACGGACCATTTCCTGATCTTATTCCTCCGCGGCGTCCAGTGACTCCCCCATCCCAGCCCCACTCCTGTTCCCGGCATGCCCCCGTAGCCGGCTATGCCCCCATAGTCCAACCATGCCTTATTTACCGACCACGCCCCCTCCTTCAGGCCACACCTCTTTCCGCGTCCACGCCCCACCGCTTGACTACGTCCCTGCTGCCGGCCTTGCTCCCAGGGCCGGACCACGCCTCAGTTTAGATTACTCCCCCACCGTGTGTATCCAAGCTCCGATGCCAGGCTAGGCCTTCACCTTTCGCACACCTCGCTTCCAGGCCACGCCCCCGACGATTGGCCACGCCCGCTGCCCGCCTACATTTGCTGTCGCGCGGTCTCGGTCGGGAGCAAGCACGTGTCCCCACGCGACAACAGTGGTGCCCGGTGCCTAGGCCGAAGTGCATCCCCTGTACCGTGGCAGCCTCCAAGCTGTGGTGCACAGACCATCGGTCCACTGGGTTGAGTGTACTGTACGGCCCGACGACACATGGAGTATCCTCTTATCTCCCCCCTCCCACCCCTATCCCCCTTCCCCTCCTTCACCACCACTCCCCTCGTCCTGTGAGAATATTTGCATGGCTGTGGATAAAGACCTCCGCCCCATTACCAGTCACCCTTTTCCTCCTCCTCTGCCCAGCCCAGCAGCTACACCTTTCTTTTGTCTAGAGAAGTTTGCCTGCTCCAGGGTGTCATGGTATGTGTTGTCTTGGAACAGTTATTTTTGCACACTCAAAATAATTACTGTACCCGCCTCTCGCCCCCTTCCCCTTCTCAATCGGCGGTGTCTGTTTTCTTTTCTTTTCTTTTTTTGGTGGGGCAGCGTTTTTGTCCACTCTGTCACCCAGGCTACAGTGTCTAGGCATCATAACTTACAGTGACCTCAAACTCCTGGGCTCCAGTGATCCTCATGCCTCAGCCTCCCTAGTAGCTGGGACTACAGGTACCTACCACTACTCTTGGCTAGTTTTTCTATTTTAGTACAGATGGAGTCTCTCTCTTGCTCAGGCAGGTCTTGAACTCCTGAGCTCAAGCAATCCACCTACCTCGACTTCCCACAGTGCTGGGATTAAAGGCATGAGCCACCACTCTCAGCCTCCCTTGTCTGTTTTCTGTGTAGGAATTGGGACATTTAGGGACATTCAAAGCCTGTGGCTGAGGGCATAGTCTTCTAAGCAGGCTCTTAATCTTTCTCTGATGTGGTGGACAGTATCTTTGGAGTGCCTATTTCTTTTGCCGTCTCTTTTCTTTGAACAAATACAAGATCATACGATCATACTATACACATGTCTTTATAATTTGCTTCCCCCCACCCCCACTTAATAGATCCCCAGTGGAGAAATGATATACTATTCAATAAAGGATATCAGGGCAGCTGGTTAACCCCTTGGAAAAAAATTTAAGAGCTCTTTTTTTCACACCTAACATAAAAATAAGTTCCAGATTATTGTGTGAAAGTTACACCTGGGTGAAATCACTTTTGTGAGACAAAAACTGAAGCCAGGAAAGCATGAAGAGGGAGGGAGAGTTGATGCATGTGTTGGATAAGGACTATCTAAACTAGCCTGCAAGAAATTCCTTTTTTAGGCTGTCATCAATTCTGTTAAGATGCTCTCAAAAGAACACCTACCCAGTAATGACATCTCCACCAATGCTCTGTCTTCCATCCTGTGGAACTAACAAACTGTTTCCAAGCAACTGGTGTAAACTTCTCCTTTTGCCAGTAAAAGCTTCCCCTTCCCCTTTCTTCAGGTGCACTTGTGGCATAACATAGGCACATGCATGTCCTCAGTCACAATCCTTTTCATGATGGCTGAAGTGCAGTGGCATCATCGCAGCTCACAGTAGCCTCCAATTCCTGAGCTCAAGTGACCCTCCTGCCTCAGCCTCCCAAGTAACTGGGTCTACAGGTGTGTTCTACCATGCTCAGCTAAGTTTTGTTTTTTGAGATGGGGGTCTCCTTCTTGCTCAGACTGTTCTTAGACTCCTGGCCTCAAACAAACCTCTTGCCTTGGCCTCCCAGAGTCCTAGGATTATAGGTAGAAGCTACATTTGCCCAGCCTCTTCTGGCCCTTTTAGGTTGACAATGGAAATACAAAAATTTAATAACCAAAAAAAAAAATGTTAAAGAAAAAAATAACCAAAATTATAAAATCACTCATTATATAAAATGATACTATTACAATCTTTGAGTGAGAAGATTCTAAGTATAACACCAACACAGGCCATAATATGCACAGAATAACCTAGGGATCTTGTTGAAAAGCAGATTTTAATTTATTAGTATCAGGCCTGAGGTGGGACCCAGACTCCTATGTATCTGAGAAGCCCTCCACTGATGCTGGCTCTGCTTAAAGAGAAAATAAAATAATGATCATACTTAATTTGGCTTTTCATTTATTAGAAATAAAAATTAGAAATAAAACTATAATATGTCTTTGTTTCTTGTTTTGGGTGGAGTTCTTGAAAGTAGCAGTTTTGAAACCTCTCTTACTCAAATGTGAAACAAGAATGATCTGGCTGTCCTGGGTAACAGAATACTAAATATACCTTTTCGTACTCTGAACCTGATTCCCAGTGACCACATGTTCTTGTCATTTGACCCAGAAGTCATGGGGTATTTATCCCAAAGAACTGAATTTACATCTATACAAACCTATGCATGAATGTTCATAGCAGCTTTACTTATAATGGCCCCAAACTTGAAACAACCAAAATATCTCTGGAAAGAATGGTTAAACAGGCTCGGCACCTGTGGCTCAAGTGGCTAAGGTGCCAGCCACATACACCTAAGGTGGCGGGTTCGAATCCAGCTCAGGCCCGCCAAACAACAATGATGGCTGCAACCGAAAAAAAAATAGCCAGGCATTGTGGCAGGCACCTGTGGTCCAGCAACTTGGGAGGCAGAGACAGGAGACTCACTTGAGCCCAGGAGTTGGAGGTTGCTGTGAGCTATGCCATGGCACTCTACCCAGGGGGACAGCTTGAGGCTCTGTCTCAAAAAAAAAAGAATGGTTAAACAGGCTGTGTGGTACCTCCTTGGACTTGGCAATAGAAGGATTGATACCCACAGCATGGATGGATGTCAAGGGCATTATGCTGAGTGCAAAACAATCTCAAAAGATCCCATACAGTCATGTAAGGGGCTGAACTTGACCCTACAATTAATATATTGGTACCCCAGT